AAGTAGAAAATCAACATTTCCCAGAAAGCTGGAAATTCGTCGAGGAATTTCTATAAACTAGAAAATCCCCGGCGATTTTTCGGTTGATTTTCTATAAACTAGAAATTAATTCAAGATTACAGTGTAGCAGAGTTAAATCGCCAAGCCTTCTAAGAAAATCAAAATGCTCGTTTTCATGTATATACCGCAACATTTTCTGTGACTCACGAAGCTAAGCGAAGACTGTACATTTTTCCGACACAAGGATCACACTGAGATACTACAAAAAGGATTTTTTTGTCCATTGGTATAGCACGATATTGTATAAAAGGCGCAAAACTTTTGAAAGCAACTATATCACAATAGTGAACCTATCGAGCGTGATTATTCTGAATATTTCCATAATGTGATAGTGTCATTCGGTTTCGTGGACATTACTCAACTGTTTACTTGTTCTGTAATCAATCATTTCTAAGTCCGTTGATATTGGACGATAGATCAACTTAAATGAGTGAAATGCTTAATTCTATCAGGTAATTACACTAACACATCTGCAAATGTTTTTGCCATCAAATTCTTTCTTATGAGACAATTGTAGTGAAATAAATGCACTCTCATCAGCAATTGTGTTTATTAATTTGATTTAAGCTTTATTTATTTATATCCCGGGAAAAAAGCAAAACAAAATACAGAAGTAGATTAATATCAAACTGCCATGATGGGGTGAACCATTACCTTAAGCTTTTTGTCTCCTCTTATCTTTCGATACGAGTTTGAAGCTAATCGATCACCATATACAAACAAATATGTAGACCCATTCATTTGTGGTCTAATGTAAATAAGGGCGAAATATGATGATCATGCAAAACTCAAGCAGTACATCAACGAGCAGAGAAGTTTCTCACAAGATTTAAAAATAAATTGTCAATCCGATATTCGGAGATATTGAGCGACTGTGTTCAACATAACGCGTACTATATGTGTGCTTTTCTATGAAATGTACACATACAGTATATTTATAGCACATTTACCACCAAGAAGATCACCTAAATATGTTGAGAGGCAGAGAAATAACTATTAACGATTTAATCAATTAGGAGCGCGCTTGCCTTTATTTGTAAAGCAAAAAAGTAATTAAAGACTGTGAATGTGATTTTTCAGATTCATATCAACAACTTTGAAGTTCCGCGTGATTGAAATCGAGTGGAAATTTAATTAAACTATATAAGTAGAAAGACGACGAGAAGTCTCTGATTTTTTTGATAACTAATCAATTTTAGGTATTTATACAATGTATTTTCTACTGAAGCAGTTCTCAGAAGAGAATCTGTCTTACTAAGACAGACTTGTAACCAATCACATTTTTTTACCAGTTAGGAAAGCTGATACAATGTGAATTTTGTGTGATTAGTCATGTTTATCGAGTTATTTGATAACAACGCTTTTTGAAAACTACTATGCTGTATTTTTGTTTTATTTTGCGGCTACATGTTTTTTAACAACAAGAAAAACATCACAACAAAAACAAATTTTTTAATAAAACAATGGATGTTGAGATTGGTTTAATTTGTTTTTATTGCTGTTGTAACAAATGATGTCATTTGGTAGAATGATCGTTTTTATCAGTTGTTGTTAATCTAATTTTTTAAAACCAATGTCGCTAGAGTATTCGCGAAAACATTGACGGCAGATGTTAAGTCCATATTTTCTAATTATTCCATGACCATTGGAACACACACGACATTTTCGACTACCCGGTCCATATTTTCGAGGATGGCTACGAAATATTGATGAATGACCCATATCGAGTTTTAATTCTTTTTTATTATTGCTAAATTATTTCTCAAATGAGAATCTGCACACGATCTGAAAAAAGAAATCCATCAAGAGCAGCAGTTTCAATTCATAAACTGAGCCAAATATATCCACGTGGAATTTGACTTAGGTTTTTTCATTAGTTTGAATCTCAGTTAGATTTCCCCCAATAGAAGTTGTTTTTTATTGACTAGGCGAAGCATCGTTGAAAATAGTGTTCCTAACATCGTCCTGAAGTTATGTTCAATAGTCATCAGTCAATTGATAAAGAACTTTTTTAATAAACTTTTTGATGGATATAACGTGACACTAAAATTGAAAAGTTACATTTAATTTACTATTGCAAAAGGGTAGAAAAACCTATACTTTTGTACACACTGTAAGTGTTTCTCGCACTCACTGAGGACATTCTACAGTCACTTGGTTGACACTTACACATTTTCGCACTTCAGGACATGCACCTAAAGTGGAATTAATCACTCACTGAAATAAAGTAATCATTGATAATCAGCTCAAGTTCGATACTTTGAATGCAGAAGTCTTTTTGTTTAAGAACTGCCATTGCGTAAAACAAAAAGGTTTTCAAAAGCTTTCAACAGTGAAAAGAATTAGACTAAATATTCTCTTTCTGTCTCGAAAAGAACGTCTCTGCGGTTACTCTAGTATGGGATCAGTAACCAAATGCGCTGGAGATGAATGTGAACACGTCTGCGAATCATTTTTTTGTCATTCTTTAGTTTTTCATCACATGAAAGAGAATATACAGAGCAATCTATCCTAGTTTATTACAAATACTCAGTGCAGTCATAGAGTATGTTTTAATTCTTTCAAGGCTTGTTTGTGCCTTTCATCTGATAAAAAAATAACGAACAACAAAAAATTGACCGTCAGAACTTTTTGCACTCAGTCCCGGCGACCAGTGTTTCTAACAGAATTTATCCGCTGTTTTTTTCGCAAAGCGTACACGTTTCAAATCTAAAAAGGAGTATCAATTAGGCATCAGGAATTAGAGGAGAAAAATAGAAACTTTCTTTATACAGTTTTTTCCCAGCAAGCAACTTTGCAGACACCAACAATTAAAAATAGAGAGAAACATCACCGATCTTGTATAACAAGAAAAAAGTATCTTTCCTATCAGACTACTCACTTAAACACAGTTAAAAAAGTTTTTCTTATTTTCTCTTAAATACAAAAAAAGTTCTATTAGAAAACAAAGCGTAAACAGCGATAGCAAAGCGTATACTGCACCCTCTGCTTTTCTGAACAAAGCGTAAAACAGAGCGTATTTTCAAACTTTGAAGCGTATGTACGCTTTGGTACAGTGAGTGCGCTTTACTATTAGAAACACTGATTGTGACGTTCTGTACTAACATATCTTAATCTTTGTCATGTAGTCTAAGATTAAGATAATCTTTCAAGAATTTCCGCGTACCCATTTAGTGGAAGATAAACGATTGTAACACAATCTCATAATTATTCTTGCTTTTCTTGCATAATACAGTCGATTATATATCTAAGAAGTGAAAGCCATTACTGAATCTGCAAGCATATCAAGTGTAAATTTGCCCAGTGCACAAGTAAATGGAAAAACGTCAGATTATAAAATTAGTAATGAAAATCTTTGAAGTAGAAAAATTGCAAAGGGTGTGTACAAGTAATATAAGTTGCTTAATTAACAATTTTTATCTAACAAAGGTTTGTATGCAATATCAATGTCATTCAGAGATTTCATTGGTCTATAGTTTTTCAAGTCATTTCATTTCATTCATTGTTAGTTTTGTTTGATCCTTTCTTTACAGTTAAGATGGGAAGAGATCGGAGATAATCAAGTACGAATTTTAAAAAATCTGTTTGAGATTCGATTTCTCGCAGGAAAAATGTAGCCTGAAAAGCAAAGAAGAAATCTTTGTGCATTGTCTCTGTCCAAAATTTCGAAAGAAGAGAGGAGATAAATGTGACAGCTTAGAAAAACCTTGGCGAAACAGAAGGAAACAGAGTGTACACGTACACTATACTCAAAAAAAGAAAGTATACACGTTCAGGTTACGGCAAAACCTTAATAGAAACTAGATGCTTGTTTAATCCTGATACGAGAAGTCAGACTGTTGTGATAAGGGAAACTAAGAGTCGAATAAAAAAGATTAATTGAGTTTTTTGTTTGTTGTTTCATTAGGTTCTCAGAGTCGAGCGCCGAATTTGGTCGAAAGAACAGCCACGGAGGTAGACAACAACAGTTTATCGGCACTATTTTGTATTTGATCCGGACTGTTTTTATATTGTTGTGTTTGAATATTTCTTCTCATTATTATAGTAAGAGTAACTTTTGCTCCCTCGTGACATCGTAGTTTTGTTCGTGAAATAAGATGTTAAAGTAAATTAGTATGGCGAAGTGATTTGCAAAATGATCATAGGTTCGTTCTTCTGTTTTCAAACGTGTGCACACTTGAAATCTTTGATTCTAGATATAAACTTGACAAAGTGATTTGATTCTCTGCAGTCGAATCAATCAAAAATGGTACGAACTCCAAGCTTTCTTTTTTATTGTCTAAAACTGCACTGATCTTTTTGTTTTTTAGCCAACACAAGGCAAAAGCAGCAAAATGCTGCAACATATCAATTATCGTATGCGTTGTACATTACAAGATGGACGACAATTAGTTGGAACATTTAAAGCATTCGATAAACATATGAATTTAATACTGGCTGATTGTGAAGAATTTAGAAAAGTCCGAAGTAAAGCTGATAAAACTGAAAAAGAAGAACAACGCCCATTAGGATTAATTTTATTACGTGGAGAGCATCTAGTATCAATGACTATCGAAGGTCCTCCTCCAAAAGAAGTAAGAATTAGATTTCTTGTGGCAATGCGTTTTTTAATTCCATGAAATGTTTTATTCCTTTAGGAAGTTGGCATTGCACGTGTTCCTACAGCTGGGGTGACACTTGGAGCTGGACGTGCTGCAGGCCGCGGTAAATACAAACACAATTAATTTGTACTGGAAATTGTATTTTTAACATTTTTATCTTTCTAGGTGTAATTCCTCCAACTCATGCTGGTCCAGCACCCGGTTTACAAGGACCCGTTCGCGGTGTTGGTGGACCTGGATATCAACAAATGACACCCGGTGGTCGAGGAATGCCCGGAATGGGAGCGCGTGTACCAATGCCGCCAAATATGCCTCCAAGTAAGTTTGTGACAATACGACATCTTATAATTCATCCATTTTATTTATTAGTCAGCTTTTCAAGAGATTAAACTGCTATAAATGTCTATTAACGTTTTCTTCTTTCGTAGGGCCAATGTGAATGAAACAATCGTGTTGTGTTCCTTGTTATTACTATGTCCGTCTTTTTTTCTCTGTACGTTACTGTGTTTTTTGTTTGTTGTCTGTTCGCTCTTCTTGTTTGTAAATTTATAAGAAAACAAAATCTAGGACAAAATTACATTTTTAACAATAAAACATTGATTTAAAAGAGCAACAATATCAAAGTTCAGGATGTGTTTTTTTAAAATTTTGTTGTTGTTGAAGATGTTCGTGATCAATTACAAACAATTGATCGTGCTTACGTTTATTAGCCAGTTTTGTTGAAAAACGATTTAGTTCAAATAAAAATTTTCCATAAATTAGTTCATCATTGGATAAAATAGTTTTTCGTATTTTCCGCACAATATCGTAACGTTCATTGGGAAATAAACTATAAGCATTATTATAAAATTGTACAATTTCACGGACTGTTTCTTTAATGGGTGTTGGATTCCAGTTAAATTTTGTCACAGCTTTTCTTGTATCAATTGGTCCACGTGTTACACTTGGAAAAAAGTTAATTTCAGTATTTTCATTCTCATTGAATAGAATCTCGTCTTGTTGTTTTCCTAATTCATCTACAATCATTAATAATAATTGTTTCAATTGTAAAATTTCATTACATGCAATATTAAGTATTTGATTATCAAAATTAATTGAGGACAACGTTTTATCATCATCATCGACAAATGTTTTAGTTAGTATAAATCCAATATAACGAGCTACATCTTTAACATAAACATAACTGGTTTTTATGTTCGATGACAAATCAATAGGTTTATTGATAATTTGAAAAAATTGAAGCCACATTTGATAGAACCACCTACAAATATAGAAACTACATTATGTTCGTGAAAGGGATTTGAAATCTTAACCTGGCAGTATACGATAGTACAACTTTTTTAACGTACCATCGATCAGTAGAATCTCTTGCTCCAAGAACATCTGGTAGTCTTAAAATAACATATGACCATTTTCTACTTGATTTTGCTTGCATTCGACGAAGATACTCTTCTATTCTAAAGAAAAGAAAATTGATGATACTCTCTATTCATACGCGATCAGTTTCATTTACTTCAATTTTTTATGACCATAACTGTCTCGACGACGAAGTTTTTCATATTCTACCGGATTATCGGGACGAATACTATCGGTTTCATTTGATAAGCCATCTATTGAACTTGTAGGTTTACAGACCTTGCCAAATAAAGAAAAAAAAATCGATTGAATGAATAAGTTGAAGAAAAGATGATTATTGTTTCGCTTACTTCATATACTGAGTCCGTGCTGATATAAATGTACATTTTAATTCGATTTTCAAGTACTTTCAAAGCATCTTCAACTACGTCAACATCATACGCACTGAAATCTATAACAGCATCAAACGTTTGCTCGCTCTGTTCATTTTTCAATAATTTTGTTAGTTGCTCTACTGCATCCGACGAATGTCTACAACAGCACGATGAAAAGATGGCATCATAAAAAAGAAAAGTTAATGATGTTTCAGTAGTATACTACCTATCAAGTTTTATTGTTTTCACAAATGGTCTGATCCGATTCTTTGAGTCCCATTCCCAGTTGCCTCGATTTAAAATCGTTAAATCAAAGTGTTTTAAAGCAAGTAGTTTCACAACCGTTTCGCCACCAAGGAACCCGTTACCTCCGAAAATCAAAATTTTCTTTTTCTCTGTCATTTGAATATTTGTTTTATGTCCAGTACCAATTTTATTTTCATGACTGATAGAAGACTTAATAATAGTTAATAGGATGAATGCTAAGCAAAATCGTTCCGTCTAATAAATTTAAAAATATAGAAAAAACAATACTTTATAATCAGACTCGCACGTCATGCACATCCAGTATTCAACTTACAAATAAGTTAAAGCGCCGGAAATTCAAACCTTAAGCAAAATCTATTTTGTCGACTTTTATGCATGGTTCGATAGAGCACGTAGAGTTGAGTAAGAATATGTGTGTTATAGAGTCCAAAATTTCAAAAAACTCGACATTTTCTAACTCTTAAAAAACCTTTAATTTTTAAAAATTATCGAAAATGTCCACTTTAGCTTCAGTTTGTAACTTCGAAAATATTTTTTTCTTATTCTACGTCAAAAAATGAATATGTAAAAAGTATACTTTCAATGTTATTCAAGTGTGATAGGACCAAAAAAAAATTTAAGAAGAGCTCGAAAATCTTCTGCTGTTAGCGCCAAAAGCTTCAGGTCTTTACAGATTTGAAATGAAGCCAATATTTTTACGTAATTCTACTCGCCATACTACCACGAAAAAAGGTTTAGAACAGTTGTGAGCAGAGGTTTTTCGGAGACCTGGTTTCTACGAAATGCAACTATTTCGAGGATTTTTGCTCACTGCCTACACTGAGAAACTGAGGTTTGGCTTGAAACTACGAGATTCTTTTTCGCCCTAAGATATTGCGTTTTTACTAAAACCTGAGTAATTTGACGAAAATCGAGCAAGTCACTCTCGAACAAACTGGTTCGTTCTGAGTCAAGCTCAATGAAAATTTGGATTTATAGGTAGAAAATATCGGAGAATCTAATGAGAAAACTTCTGAAGCCTCTAGAACATTTCCAGAGGATTTTACTGAAAACCAGGCCTCTGGAAAACCTTTTTTGCTCACAACTGTTTTAAAAATCATCCACATCGATAGAGAAAAGAATTCTGAATAAGATAAAGTCATTCTGACGTGTCTGTGATGTTTTGTTAATGCAACACATTCCTTGAAACTGTAGTCTTCCGAAAGTTCCAAGTCAAACCTCAATTTCTCAGCGTAGGCAGTGAGCAAAAATCCTCGAAATCGTTGCATTTTGTAGCAACCAGGTCTCTGGGAAACATTGCTCACAACTGTTCTAAAAATTATCCACATCAATGAAGAAAGCAATTTTCTACACAATGCAACTAGGAACAAAAACGAAACTCGTAAAATGCATGCATACTTTTTTTCGTGGTAACATGGGGAGTAAAATCACGTAAAAATATTGGCTTCATTTCAAATCTGTAAAGACCTGAAGCTTTTGGCGCTAACAGCAGAAGATTTTCGAGCTCTTCTTAAATTTTTTTTTGGTCCTATCACGCTTGAATAACATTGAAAGTATACTTTTTACATATTCATTTTTTGACGTAGAATAAGAAAAAAATATTTTCGAAGTTACAAACTGAAGCTAAAGTGGATATTTTCGATAATTTTTAAAAATTAAAGGTTTTTTAAGAGTTAGAAAATGTCGAGTTTTTTGAAATTTTGGACTCTACAACACACATATTCTTACTCAACTCTACGTGCTCTATCGAACCATGCATAAAAGTCGAAAAAATAGATTTTGCTTAAGTTTTGAATTTCCGGTGCCTTACTAAATAAATATATGCATGATACGCCGTTTTGAGCATGCATCATCTAGACAAGAGAAACATTCAAACACCAGTTATTCTGCACTACGACACAAACCAGACGAGATGTTGTGAATTTCAAATTTTCTTGTATTCTTTAAAAACACTAGTTCAAAACCGTCGATGAAATACAATCGCTTAGGTCCACCACAAACATCTATTCATGCTATTTTCATTATTCATCTCCACACCATCCAATGTTATATTGTTCAGTTACTATTTACCTACTTTAAGCAAACCTTTCATTTAAAACTAGTATCTACAATAGAGATATGTCGACAATTTAATTTGAGTTGTTATTTTACTCTATAATATCATTGTAAGGAGATCAATTATGTCTCATAATACACTGTGTCTTGCATTCGAAAACTGCCGAAGGGAAAATTGCTGTTGTACTCATCAATTTAAGACTAAACTTTCCATACTTCGTACATAAAGACAATACTCTTATGTATATAATCTCATCCACATTTAAGGCAAACCGACTATACTTGCCTATAATTATTTATAAACACAATAACAAAAAGTGTAATAGACCTAATTGGACAAATAACAATAATGGAACAAAAGTAATGTCTTTGCATGAAAAACAAAAAGAGGAAAAAGATTTTGTTCGATAATCACGTAGTAAAAAGTGTTATTTGATTGTAACATAATAATATGAATAATAAGAATGTTTTGTACATGAATAATTTCTGTGGAAAATAAAACGGTATTTTCATTTTTGAAAGCAAACGTACTGCTTATTCAAAGTGCATATAGAGTATTAAAAACAATAGAACTAATTAACAGTAGTGCGTTCATTTCTTTTCTACTATTAAAAAGAATGAAAAGAAATAAACACACCAATTGAAAACAACTCTGTTGTTTAGTGTTTGTCATACCCACAGTTAAAGCGAAAGCTAAAAATTCCTATAAGAAAGCACTAAAACCGCAACAATTATCATTCGAAAATAAAAAATAAATATCATTTAGATTATAGTCAAATTGTCACAACCAATGCTTCTTGTAACACAGCACATAGAAAATCCATTTCTTCTTCAGTTATATCAACATTCAGAATCAAACGTATAGATGGTTGTGGTAAAACATGTTCATCTTGTAAATAACGTGCAACAGTTATTGTTATATGTTTTGTTTGTGCAAAATGTACAATAGATTCTAAACGTCCAGTTGTATTAAATTCATTAGGTAATCGAATATGTTTCAGAGGTGATAAATAATCACCTTGTATAATATAACCTTTTATGGCAATCAGTTTATTATGTAACTGTTCAGATTTATACATTAATGTTTCAAATAAGTCAGAATTTTCTTCCATTATATTTAATGCTTCAATAGCCGCCGCAGCTAATAGAGGAGGTAGAGATGCCGAAAAACAATAACCTTGTGCAGATAAACGTTGATGATCAACAACAAATGAACTACCAACTAAAATAAAAAAAAAGCTCGAAAAACTAGATAAAAATCTATTAACGACTAGAAGATGAAATTCTTACCAGCAAATCCTCCAATTGAACCGGCAGCATACTCTAATGTACTTGATATTAGATCAATTTGTTGACGATCAATATTATAATATTCTGTAATGCCACGTCCTGTTTGTCCAATTGTACCAAACGATACAGATTCATCAATAAATATTCGATATTTATATTTATATTTTAATTCGACCATTCGCGGTAAAGGACATAAATCACCATAATTCATATATAAACCTTCGACAATGAGAAAACGTCTTGTTGCACGTGCTTTTTTAATATTTTTTTTGTCTAGATTTTCTTGTTCAATTAATAAACGTTCTAAATCATCCAAATCATTATGTTTAAACCATTTGATATTACTACGAGAGGCTTCAATGCCTTTTTGTATAGCATAATGAACTCCTTCGTCAACAAATATAACATCATTACGTTTCGAATAAGCTGGTATAATACTGGCAATAGTTGAAAATCCGTATGAATAAATTATGCCTTCTTCACAACCAAAAAAACGTGCTAAACGCTCTTCTAATTCTAAATGAATATCAATTGTTCCATAAAATCTGAAATAGAGAAGGATATATTTGATGAAATATTTTATAGAAGTCTTTATTTGTTTTGCTTACCCACGAGGACCACAGGATCCCACACCGTACTTCTGTACAGCTTGAATTGATTTACTTTGTATACGTTCATTACCGACAAAATTTAAAAAATTCAATGAAGCAAAATTTAAACTTTGTTCATTATCAATTGTAATATATTTTCCTACTGGGCCATCTAATATTCGAACATTCAATGCTGGATGATTTGGATCAACAGTGGGTACTAACGGTTCCGGTTGCCATTCATCAATTAATTCTTGTTTTTCTTTTTCAGTTAACTTTTTTTCAATTGGACGTGGTTTACGAAAAAATAATAGCCACATAACAGCAAAAAATAATAAAATTTCCAAAATAATATGATACAGTGGTGCATGATAAAATGATTGTATTAGGCCATAGAAATCTGTTGCTAAACTTTCGATATCAACACTAGACATTGACGATAATAGCATATTTTAAATCAACTCTTGAATTATAGTGAAACAAAAAAGTAGATGAAAGAATTTCGTGATCATAATGGTTCATTAGGTGAACTCTGTTTAAACAAAATCTTTAAAATTATTTATGCTTTCTTAAAGCTCTTTATTTTAACATATCAATGTAAAATTTAATTAATCATGTCTACTTCAAGAAATAGGGAACAAATTCTTCTACTTAATACAGATAGTATCATTGATACATCATATTAAAACGGATTCTACTTTTTTTCTGCAAATTAAACGAAGTTAAACTCCTATGACTTCCAAAAAGCAATTAAAAAATAAAAGAGATCAATGGTTTTCTCGCTTATTTCAGAATGCGTATATTATTCATAAAGTAGTTCAAAACTTTCACAGATAATTTTATTAGACAAGATTATAACAGCGAATTACGTGTACAATTAGCAAAATTTTTATAGATTTGTTCATCTTCAATCCTGTTGAGCAACTTAAGGTAAAATGAGACACTTTGAAATTCTCTTTCTCTCAGATAAATGTGATCCGAGAAAACTGACTCTTGAATTAGTCGATAGGGCAGAGAGTAGTCCATTTTTTTATTAAAAATATTTTTCAAAGTTGATCTATGATAAGGTAAGAAATTAAGAATAAACTTTACTGCTCAACAAGAAATATATATATATATTAAACTAACGTGCATTAGATATTAGATGCACCTTTCCTACGATTTATGGTTTTCTTTTACTGTTCTCAGATAAGCTCAAGATACGTCTCTGTTGAACAACTTCCTTAATTAGACTATACCAGAAATTTAATTCTGAAAGACGTGAGAGGTTTGTCTTTGAGAATCCCATGTATTGAAACCGACCGTCTCTTTTTACTTCAATACATAAAAGTTATTACAGTTACAAGTACAGTTAGTTATGTCATAATTAACTTAATGAGTTTATATAATAATGAGTTCAAAGTCATAGAGAAGAGCGAGAAGAGTCAGACTACAAAGTGAGATTTCTTCCAACTAAGTGATTTGTTAATTAAAACTGCATGGATTTGCAAGAAATAAAATATCTCCTTTTTACCATAAAACACTATAGAAAGAGACACTCGAACAGTGGATCGTCTTTGCTTTTTTCGTCTAGTTCAAAATCAGAGATTTTCACCAGATTTCTACATCAGCATGTAGAAAATTGTTCGATCCAAAGTTTTTCCACCAAAAACGACTTGAGAAATACGACAAAGTTTCCAAAAGTGTCTCCGTTTACGTCATTCTACTCAATTAGGGCTATCATTTGTTTTTTTAGATTTCATATTTTCTTATTAATCTTACTTTTTTTCTTAAAAAAAAATTTTTTTTGATCATTGTTTTATGCTTTTTTATTTTCTTTAAAAGGAAGAGGTGTACAAAGCTTCCGTTTTATTCTTTTGTTCTCTTCTACGAGCGAAAGTGACAGTGTTAGTGTCATATGTAACTAATAATAATGACATAAAAACATTCGATTAGATTAAATTTTTTGACTGTTTTGTTGTCATGAATATTTGAACTAATGATTTTGTCTTCTTCATTTATGATTCTCAAACAACAAAAAAATTTATTCTTTTATTCTGAAACATTTGCAATTTCAAAGAGCACTCATAATGTAAATTTACTTTCAAAAAAAACTATAATTATTTTTGTTGTACAAAGACGTCAGTTTGTTCTGTTTTCAATGCTCCTACAAGTATAGTTATTTGTTTCTAGTTTTTTACTGCGTCAAAAACACTTTTTCTTGCAATATTTTGTATATTCTTCTATATATACATCTTACGCCGATGCTCTTCTTCCACCTACAGTATTAAGAGTTCGATTGCTATAAAACTCTTTGAAGTGTTTATATTTACTGTATGGGAAAATACATCCATATAGAAAGAAAGACATACAACACTAATCTCATCATGATTCCATAGCGGAAAAAAAGCATGAAAAATTAAAAAGTTGTGAGCCTTTCTCATTCTGATTGAGAATTTACGGTATTGTTTCAGGTTACAAATCTCAAATATATTTAATATTATTATTTATTAGATCCTAACATCGATGAAAGAAATGCAAAAGTTGCTTGCTAAGGTACTTAATAAACCTGAAGCTTTTGAAATGTATACTCTTTTTTTATTCTTCCACATGCTACATGAAAAGTGCATAAAAATTATTATTTTCTACAATTTTTAGTGAAAAAAAATCATCGAATGATACTGGTGTGATAAAATAATGATCACTCGTTTGATATATTCACTATGGTGGAAAAAACAGCGTGTTTAACGGTATAGGCTACGTATATTATTGGGATGATAAGAGTAAACATAGAAAAGGAAACAAAACATTGAAAGGTCATGAAACTTTTGCTCTTAAGCAAGATAAAGAAAATAGAAAAATGTTTTTGATTAGTGTTCTTTCCCAAGTCAAAAATCCTAGAAGTATCGTAAAATATCTTCCCATAGAATTCTTACACTATTCTGGATTGTCCGACGTAGAAATTTTTAGATTTCATATACGAGTTGACAGGATCCTACGCTAGATTATTCGATTTGAAGCCTTGCATGGATAACTTTGAAATATTTAAAAGAAAAGAAAATATCTGGTGGCAATTTTCTTTAAATGACCAAAGCAATGAGTTGACGTGTGAAAATACTTCATAGTAATCATCTATCAAAACGAAAATTTAGCTGCCCACCAACTCTACGATAAATAATTTCCTTAACGAAAAAAATACATACTGATAAAATGGGAAAAATATTTCATCATTGCTGTTATTTACTAACGATGGTTTCTCTGTGTTTTTGAATACCCAGCATGAAATCTATCTATCCTCTTGACAGTTAATTATGTTAACATCGTTGGCGGATTCCGCTAGCGAGCAGTACGAGTGACCCCTCGTACCTTTAGAACAACAGAATGATTTTTGCCCAGAAGAACTACCTCAAAAAATTGCTTTTCTATGGTGATCACTTGTACCTTATACTTTCCTTACCCATCGCATGTACTTCAGAAAAATCCTGAATCCGTCGCTACTAGTTAACATGCTAATTAAATCCTTTATTTTCCACTTGTTGCTATACAGTGATGTCATGTTGTGTAAATCAAAGAAAAATAAGGAGGTGTGGTGCAGTAAAGAGAAATCTAAAAACGTGTTATTTTGCATGTGCGCAACGTGAAAGACGATAAATATAATATGCTGACTCTCATATTAATAGATATATCTAGATAAAAAATGAATTTTACAGATAACTGTGTGTTTAACCGTGAAAAATAATTATTCAACAGCTACTCTACCGATAAACTAATTTCAAATAGTGACATCTACAATTACAGTTGTTCGTTTCCTGACCAATGTACAGACATAAAAAAAACAAAAATAGAATAACCAAATAAAAACCTCAGTGACCTAACCAGGGTTAGTGATATTGTACAAAATGTTTGTCATTCATTATTATGATTAAAATCATTTTTGATACCACGTCAAACAACACTCTTTGGACGCATGTGCATATTGTTAAGAGGAAAACGAAAAAAAAGAAAGGGGGGGGAGGTGAGTGGTAGATTTTTTCTATTTCTCTAATAATAAGTGCATGAGCACAGGAGAGGAAAAAAACAGAGAAAAACACGGTATTATTCCTCTAAAACCTTCATAGTTTCACGTCTATTATAGATATACAGATATATATATATCTACGTACATATATTCATAGTTTCTAATCGGAACAATAGAGCGAAAAAGTTATCGATTTATAAATATTTTGACATTCATTTACAATAAAACCAAAATTTCCAGACAGTATAAAATATGAAACTAGAAAATCAACCAGATAACGTGGCCACAATGACACAAAATGGTTACACACGTGATCAATATACTACGTCAACGTTAACGCCGACAAATAGTGCAGGAAATTTGAATCTAATGCCTAAAAGATATACATCATCAACAAAATTATCACGACAAACTTCACTAGCAAATCGAAATAATTATTATCCACATTCGATACAAAATTCAAATACGTCAAATGAATTTCTGATACATCATACATCAACCAGAGGTGTACCAATAGTGGCTAGTGCAATTAGTAAATTTTTTGAAGCAACAAAAATTATGGAAGACGAAGTTATGTTACCCTCAAAATTAAAAGATACAACAGTCGAAGGTAGGCAGAAGAAATATGAAATGATTTGAAAAAGAATGACAGAGTGACTGACTAATCACTTTAATTGAAAAAAAAAGGATGCAAAAGACTCTTGAGCGCATAAAATAATGATTCTTTAATGACATACAGAAGTTTTCCATCTTCATTACTTTAGTCAGTTACTTGATCACCGACAAAAAGAAACACACTGTAGTCTTTTCTTATCAGTGAACATATCACTTGAACTTTTTTCTTATCAATGTTTTATCTTTCGTTTTGAATAGAGAACATGTTTGATAGTGGTATTCAACCAAATAATTGGCATGAAGTATTTAAATTTGCTCAAGATATTCGTAATCAATTACAATGTAGTAGGCCATTTTCTGATAATTATGAATATAATCATATAAACAACCACAGCGATAATTATGCCACACCATCCTTAATAATTGAAAGTGAAACTGGAAATTCAACTAATTATTCATCAGCATCCTCGACAACATCAGATTTATCGTCTGAGGGTGATAATAATCATACAACAGCAAATATATCATCATTTGAAGCAATTAAAGATGAATTAAAATTCCATTATTATGGTTTAACTGATACATTAGATAACTTAACGTGGATGGTTAATCGTGTTACAGAAAAATATCGTGAAGATGTAGCATTTAAACTAGGCTAATTTTACACTGTATATGATTATTTAGATTAGTCTTCTCTGTGCTGAACACCAAACTAGCTGTGATTTTATTTGATTTCGTCTTCTTCACTCTATCAAGTGGGATTCTCAGCTAATGTCTTATAATATCCGTCACACTCGTTATTTATTTTTAGGCTTCAAGTCATTTCTTCTTTTCTTTATTTGTTACAAAAAAAGAAATAATTATATATATTACAAATAAAACAAGTTTTTCATCGTTCTAATGTCGATAACTACGTTTTTTATTTTTAAAAAGAAGAGAGAAAACTAAATTACATACACACGCAGTCACATGTGCACACAAACACATGTTCAAAAAAAACTCAGCGTATAATACAGATAAAAAAGACAACATCTTAACTGTTTTTTTACTTATTTTCAACAAAAATGAAATTTAGCAACAAAACAAAGCAACTACCATTTCTATGTTTTAATCAACTCAGATAATGGAGAAAATAAATCAAATTAAACCTATAATGTTTCAGTTCGTTTTATTTTTAACATGAGATTTTGTTGTTTAACATGCTCCAAAACATGCATATTATATTCAACACCTTTCGGAAATGTACGCTGACATATGAGACAGGAACGAAGTAATTTCACTTCTAAAACATGTTGTATCTTCAAATGATTCACCATTTCGTCAAATGTAAATAAACAACCTGTATTACACTTACGACAACCAAATTTCTGAAAAAGATGCAAAGCAGTTTTATGTTATTTTAATAATGTAACACTTGATCACAGAGGCAACAGTCCCAGATTGACACAAAAATACAAGACGTCGCCGTCATTGGTTACTCATCATCAATATTCGAATGTCTACACATTTGTTTCCCTCAAATGCTCTGATAAACAGATGATTACGCTCCTCAATTGCGGACGACATGGTCTTAGCTGTAGTTTCTTTGTGTAAACGAATAGTAGGAAATATAAAATTGTCTTTTTATGACAATTCAGAACTATTAATACTTTATTTCTCGAACATGTTTATCATTATCAGTAAAAGCTGTTTTCGTAAGTATAATATTAGAATCACTGGTAATACCTTTTCTGTACTGGTTGATAATGGTTTAGGTGTCTGAGCTAATCGTTGTCGTTGTTCATTATTTTGCACGTCGATTATTTCAGACGAATTCTTTTGCGGTGTACCTGTTCGATTGTTAATTAACATTGTTGATGTTGGAAATGACGGAGATTTTAATGTTATTGGAGACTTTGAACTAACATTTGGTAACGCTCGTACTGATTTAATTTGGGCTATTGAATGAATTGTTTTATTTGGTGGTGGTTGAAATCGAATAAATTTTTTTAATTCTGCTGAATATGTAGCTCCTTCATGTACCCGTAGTTGATGTTCTAATAATGTTAGATTCGTATCAGCGCAACGTAAACCACATAAACAGCATTGATCATTCGTTAGAAGTGTTGTCATTTGAATTTTGTGTGAAAATGCTAAATGGTGTTCTAAATTACTGACGTTTTCGTTGCAATAGAAGCATGATACTAGAAAATAAAAAGTGAATATGAATCAAAACAATTTATCTAAAATCGTTTGATTAACTTACGTTCTTTGAATTCATATATAAAGCATTTTGGTGCCACTGATTTCCAATAAAACTCATCAATAAACTCAGTTTGGATACGTTTAACTTCTTTGTCAAACTGAACTTTTCGCTGGTCTTCTTTTGACATATTATAACTACTCACTACGTTTTTCTCTGTTGATAAACCCGATTTCGTTGATTGGGCAATAACATCTTTTGCTGAATCGATAGATAATCGATGAAAACGCATCAAATGTCCAATTAATGCTACAAATTGATTATACGCTTTATTACACCATGGACATATATTTGATGATTCATTTGAAACTGATGTGGATGGTTTTGTTAGCATAATAGGTGAAGATGTAAGAAATGGATTTTTTTTGTTACTATTATTAATGATATTAGATGATGGTTTTGTAGCTCCTGGTGTATGAGAAGCTGGAGATAAACTGGACGAAGGTAATTCTGGTGTCGACAGAACAAGAACTGGCTTAGGTGATGTTAACTGAGCGGAATTTGGTGGCAGTATTTCTGGCGTTTTCATAACAGACTCTAATGGAAGTCCATATACTGATTGAACATTATGATTCAGACGTAAATGTCGAGAATAAGTCGATTTCAATATCATTCGACGACACACAATACATGACTAAACAAAAACAACAAACAAACAATATTAATAGTCGCATACGGAATTTAGAAACATTATTTTTATACCTGATATAAATCATCAATAGCACCATCACCACCATCCAATATTTGTATTGGTTCATCTGTGTTGAGTGTGATAACGTTGGCCGGTAGGAGAACATTGTTCGCTATTCGTGGTAGAATCATTGGGTAAGTCCTTGGGGTTTGAGAAGGTGGTGAAATAATTGTAGTTGGTTGTACCGATGGTTTATATAATGTCGTTTTTTTGTTCTTCTGATTTCTTGATGGTTCAAAGCCGACATCTTTTTTTTTATTACTTTCTTCTGTTTCTAAACCATTCGCTTCTTGATCTTGTTCATAATTACTATCATTATAATTGTCATCACTCTCGCTGCTGTCTTCCAAAATAACCGTTTCAATAACATCGTTCTTGTTTTTTAATCGATTGTTGGATTTCTTTTCATTTTTTCTAGAACCATGTTGAAATTTCTTATTACAGTTAAATGATTGTTTTTGTTTATTAGTTGGTTTTTCCATAACATTGTAAGCCACAAATGGAAAAGACGAATCTGACGAACTGGATGGTAAGTCCTGAAATAAAGGAGAAAATAACTTGCCGCTGTTGCCAAATGGCAAATCTTACCAGTCGTACTCGAACAGTTCCTGAATTATCTAAAACAAAACAAAAAGACAACAGTTTTGTAACAAAAAATGGTCATAGACAGCTAAAAAACGAACTGCTTTACTTTTTTCAACTGCGGTATAAACAATTTTTTGACCAGATCTAAAATGAATAAACGTAGTGCACATACGATGAATATTTCTTATAGAATAAAATTATTACCGTTTTTTTTCGTTTACATATCCGTTTTGTTCAATTGTTAGAGCCAAATTTTCATTTAGCATGTTACTATTCACAAATTTTTGTTCACAATAGGTTTTATGTTTTTTCATTCGATCTTGATTATCTGTTTCATATGGACAAAATGAACACGTATATTGACTTAACTGTAATTCAAGTAAAATATGACGACCATGACGATTTTCGAAATGTTGTTTCAATTGTGATAAACGAAATGTTTTAAATGTACAATAGGTACATTGATATTTTTTAAATGATGTTGTATTGTTACGATTTAGAATTGAATGAGGTGTACGATAATGATTTTCCATAACATGATAAGAATCCGTATTGAATTGACAATATTTACATGAATGCAAACGTTCTGGATTTAATGCTTTATTGTATATCGTTAACATTTCCATTTGTTGAGTATTGAGATGAGGTAAAGGAGCGTGTGTATTTCTAAAAAATAGTCATTTTTAGTCAATTCCAGTATCAGAGCATGTAGTGTGACTTACATTTTATCGTTTTTATCATTTAAAACACGTTCTAAACATAAATCCAATCCAAGATGATATAAAAATCGATTATACGGTGTATAACGTTTTTTGGATCTATTTGACTCAAACAATTCTGATATAAACAACGTTGACTCGTTATCTAAATGAATTTCTTCTATGGACGTTTCTGTTGACGGTAATGAATTACCGTCATCATCATCAATCAGCACAGATTCAAATCGAACTCTTTTCGAATTTTTAGAAACATCTACTAGAATATCATCCTCAGAATTTTCTTCTAATAAACGCTTATTATTTATTTTTCTTCCCGTAGAGTCGATTTGTTCAATTATACTGTTCAATAATAATTTAATTTCAGTAGATAATTCTTGTCGATTATGTACATTGTCTTCGATTAATTCAATTTTACTTATTATTTCGTTCAATAAGATTTCGATTACTATCTCGTCATTAATATCATCTGTTAACTGTCTTCTTTCGTCTTCTTCATCTGAACATAAAGACGGTGTTGAAGCCAAATCATCGATAAGAAATGATGAATAAGTTTTTTTAGTAGCATCGTCATTCATCTAAACAAAAATATTTTTATTATTAATCAAAAAATATTATTTGAACTCAAATCAGAATTTGAATTCTAAGATTAGTACGTAAACCAATCTTTCTCTTTTTTCTATAAATATGTAAGTTTTTTTTCAAACTTATTTATGTTGATTTACTAAAGGCCTTTTTAGTCGTAATTACAACGTTGGTGTACTGAATTTCATCCCCAAAACCGACAATTTATGTAGTCTTTAAAGCAGGAAAGGTTCTGTATAAAAAAAAGAATACCCACCTCTATATCTTCATTATGAGATTCTTCTGATAGAAGATCAATTGTTTCATTCATATGTTCTTTTTTCTTCTCTTCTAAATTATCATATTCAACTTGATCATTTTCGTTGGATGCTGATTTTTCCAAATTGTTATCCGTCGATGATATTGTCATAATACTTTTCGATGAAGATAAAAATGTAAGATCTTCAATTTCATCAATATCGCTTGATTGTTCATTAACATCGTGATTTTCATCTCTCTGATGATGCTGATCATTATGATTATTGTTAAGGTTTGTTAATTTCGTCAGCTCATCACTTTTTCGATGAAAAGTCAATGATGACGAGTAAAAACAAGTATTTCTTGTATACTCAGTTCCATGGTTTGTACAATTCTCGATGGTTAACGACGTATCACCGTTAATCATTCAAAATTTTATTACAAATAAACTAAAAAAGCAGTAATCGATCAAGCGTCAAAACATTCTAAAATTGGCAAAAACAAGAACTATGTAATGGCAAAAAGATCGACTGAAGTGGCAGTATCGAAGCATCTGAGCTGGTTTTTAATATTCAGTGTATAATGAGGAAAAGAACCGAAACGTCACTCAGACAAATTAAACCGTTCAATCTAAATATTAACGTTTTCGCATAACAATACGGTTGAACAACTGGCTATTTTAAATGTTCCAAGAACACTTAATCCTAGCTAAACAATCATCCAGCTTGTCTTTACGAGATTGCACATGTCAGTCTAAGTTTAAGTTTTTAATTGTATATGCCAGAATCCTGAAAAAAGTAGGGAATAAAGTCAAAGGGCTATACAACGATCAGCCGATTATTTGCGGTGTGGTAGTAGGAATTTTTTATGTAATAAATACATTAGAATTTTTCTTCTAAAAGAAGAACAACAGGAAACTGTGCAGTACGGATGGCTTCGAGAATATTTCGTCTCATTTGCTTCAACTTATCAAATCGACAAAGTCCAGCCTTTCCGCATATGTGCTGACGTATGTGACCAATCAGGTTTCACCATTTCCTCACTACACTGAGGAGTGATCATATTTCATCTGTCTAGAATGCAGATCAATGAGTAGAAGATTTTTACCATCCTGAAGTGATCCTCATAACTACCAGGTACAGTAATTGATCTATGATTTGTGCGCAAAATACATTGATAGTAGCGCCATTGATTCGTTCTGCGATGATCTAACATTACCTGTATATTTATAATTAGAAACAAGATGGTACTGTATCACCTTCAAGAGTATAATGAAACGAGAGAACTGATCACGAACATTTCAGCGACAATAGATTGTAGTCCCTGTTATATCCCTAAACAAATCTCACTTCTGTCATCTGTTAGATGTTCATTCTGACTACATTTTATTGCTATTGAGAAAAGAGGTTCAAAACTGTTAATTAAATTTTTCTCCATAAATTTATTTACTAAATCGCTACAAGAAAAAAGTGTAGACAAAATTAAAAAGAAAGTCAAGCCGCGTGCACATGCACATCTTGTCCTAATTTACTTTCTTTGTATATCTGGTTACTAATCAAAAGTTTTCTAGAATAAAACATCAATCAGTTGGAAGAAATTAAATTAGAATGAGATGTGTATGTGAACGGAATATTACAAAGAAATAAATTATAAAAAGAAAAGATAACCAGAGGAACACACAATCATCTGATTCAGATTCTAACATAGGTTTTACAATCAAACAAAGTTATGATTTCTTTTACTACATTTTCTTACAACATTGGTGGCTCGGGTACACCATATTTTTTTAAATACCATTCCATATATGCTTTTTTTCTTTTCATTCGTTTGGCGAAATAATGTGGATATTGTGCTTTTTCTAATGGATGCCAAGCATCTAAAGCCTAAAAGAAAAACATTTACTTTACTACTGTCGTTTAAAATACGTACAATTATCATGTAAAAAAGTTTTGATATATAAAAGAAACGTGCTTGTTTTACACTCAGCTCTAGGAAAAAGACAGTTAAATGTTTCACTTTAATTGTTCAATTCAACTAACTCTATACAATTGTTATGTGTATATGATCCAAACTAGCATGTTTTCGATTTTAATGAGGAAAAGTGCATTGCTTACTAACTGATTTTTCTTATAAAAGTGAACAATGTATACCTACCATATCAGGTGGTGGTGGATTTCGCCCTTCTGCAATCCCACCGGGAGACTCAGCAACTAGGAAAGAAAGAGAATAATAACAATCATTGATTAATGTAATTTGAATAAAATATACAATTCCAAGGTTCAGGAAACCATGACATCTCATATTGAAATTCTTCTTCACCGGCTATGAGTAAACGTTTTGCTTTCATCATATCTTGAATATTTTTGTTGGCATCAAATCTTGCTCGAATAATGACGCAGTCATAACGATAGTCAATTCTAAAATAAAACTTAAACAAAGATTTTAGTTTTTTCCAAAAAAAATGAATGCTATTAATATACTCACCTATTTGGCCAATGTTTAAGACGCATCAACTTTATCGCTCCTTTGTACAATCGACAAACACGTTGTGCATGGGTTAAAAATGTTGTCTGTAAATGAGCCATCTAGTACAAAAGGGTAAAATTTAAAAACTGTGTTTCTGAGAAGAGGATGAGATAGATGCTAAACCCGTTTGTTTGACAACAATTTGGTCAACTTATCTGAAGTTCGTGTTTGATGACTTAGCACCCCATACAAAATTTCACAAAATGGATAACTAAAGTTTATTTTCTTATCTCGGTTGTTGACAGTGTGGAACAGGATACCACATTTTCCACTTTTCTTCACTTGATTTATCCTATGCATTTAAAAAGCAATATGTTAAGAGTATCCACCCTCATTTTGGGTTTTCCGTAGAAATGCTGTGAAATAAAAACTAAAACTCACTAAGGCTTCATATTTTCAGGACTGATTGGAAACTCAATGGAGCACTTTTTCGTTTTTTTTTCAAGTTTATAACTATTGCCGTTCATCAGTTTTCCAGAAAATTTGGTTTCTCATTGGACCACATTACGACTGATCGAGTTAAAAATTTTATCACAGGTACAAGGTCATAGCGCAGAGGTATAATTTTGAAATTTTATTTTAGATCGTTCTTTACCGAGTTAAGGGGGTCTTAATGTGGTCCAATGAAGCCCAGTAGCAAAAAAATAGTTTTCGAGAAAAAACGCATTTTGTGCATAGGCTACTTTTTTCAGAAAAGGAGAGAAAAGTTTATGAATCTAAAAAATTGAGCTTTTTTTGGCTTTGAAGGAAAAACTTAAAATGCAAAACTTTTTGAAGAAAGGTCGTGAAGCCAGGAGTGGTCTCATTTTGTAGCCCACACTTTTCTCCACATTAGGCTATGCTTAGCTCAAAATCCGAAATTTTTTCAAAAAAGAGGGGTACCCTTAAATTTTTTTGTCTTTGTTGTGTCTCTCTTTTTTTCATTACTTTATTAGGAATGCACTGAGGATGTGAGAAACGTTTTACAGTATATCCTTACAAACGTGTTAGAAAGAGGAACTACGTTTTCGTTAAAAGATTTTCCGCTTTTTGGATTATAAAATGTGGCAATCAGTGTTTCCAATGAGAATTGTAATCAAAATGGATTGAACCACTTTGCTCTGAAGCCTAAAGTGGCACTAACCACTTTGTGCTAAACTGCAAAGTGGTCTCGAATAAAGTATCAGCAAGCAGCATTTATAAAACTGTTTTCTGCTTGGGTTCTAAAACATAGACCTTTCCAGTGTTTCTAATGAGAATTTTCAGCAGAGCGTACACAAACGTGGTAATTAATAAGATCAATCATGATGGCAAAACTAGAGAAGAAAACAAAGTGGAAATTTTAGAAAGCAAAGTGGTTCGCAACGTGGTTTTTTTTACTTTCAAAGTGGAAAACAGAGTGGATTTCATTTTTACAAAGTGGAAGACCACTTTGCTCTCACGGGGACCACTAATCATTAGAAACACTGGTGGCAATCCTGATGTAGAACGAAGAACGACATGAAGTCATTCTCTATGTACAACTAATAATAGACTACTAGTTTCATCCGAAGTTCGAAGGGACTTTTTTTTTTCATTTTGTGTAAACTGAACAATTTCAAGTTTTTAGGCTTTTATCTTGTCATTTATACTTCTCAAGCTTCTGCTCTTTTTATTTGTCAAAGTTCTGCCATTGTAATCGTCGTAGAGCCTCGATCATAGTTACCCTAATGATTTCTTGGAATATGATTTGTTCATACGTTCCGCCATAACTGCAGTACTTTTGTTGTTGCTCAGATCATTTATTATTTATTTATTCATTCATTGTTTTCCACGTTTTAATAATCTCGAGAATTGCACACGGAAGTATTTAATTCATTTTCAGCTTTAGTTCTATTGTGTTCAGAAAGGCAAAGAATAATTTTCTAGCGACCGAAAACCGGGCAGCTTAATAAAGCACAAATGTGACTCAGTTTCCTTAATAACTTCAGCTAGAAGTTATGTTTGAAACTTATCTGTAATTCATTTCGTTGGAAAAAGTCAGGAAAAGTGTAATGTTTCCATGATAAGAGCGTTATCTAGGAATCAGTCGTATTTTCACGTTTTGTTCCACCATAATATGAACCGATTAACATTCATTTTGTTCTTTTGAAAGCAGACTCAGATTAGTTCGACTCGGGTTAGACGTATAGAAAGTACTTGAGACAGAAATCAAATTTGTTATCGCTTTAAATATTTTGTGATCTCGTTTTGTTGTTTAATTTTTATTTATTATTAATTTTTCAACGTGAAATAATTGATATCTATCAAGAATAGCTGTATTCACTCGATCATAGTCGTTATACATAATTATTACTCTATTTTGGTCACTTAGAATGTGAACAAATGGCGTCTTCAAGTAATTAGTTGTTTCACTTCATTTATTTTCAATATATATAAATTATTAACCGTTGTTCAACACGTATTTTCTGATGGTAAATACCATTTGACAGAAATTTATTTTTAAACTTTAGTTCTCATTTTTGATCCCTGAAGTCGGGTTACCCCATTGCATCCGTGCCCAAAGGGACCGAGACAATGTGCATTAGATAGCTTGTCCAAGACTACCGCCGTATCGAGATTCGAACTCCGTATCTTTGAAGTACGTTATCTCCCCACTAGCCGACTAAGCTACGCTGTTCATAGAAATTTTCGTTTGGAAAAAAACAAAGTACGATGATTATTACGATAAAACATACCAAGTGTAATTCTTTGTTAGGCCGCTGGTTTGTTGTCGAGCAATCAGCTATTGAGAAAGGTACTTATAGATCAGTGGAAAACATCCATAGTATGCAGTAAAAAGCTGGCCTATTGAGTGTACTCGGTACAAGTACTTGATTACTTGATGAGTACTTGGAAACTATGTGACAAGTTAAGTAGCAAAGTAAAGTAGCAAGTACTTGAGCAAGAATTTGTCAAGTGTCATTACTTGATTTGCTTCAGCCAAGTACTTGGACAAGTCGGTGACTCTTTTCTTTTGTATTGACCATTTGTATATAAACACCACCATATCAATCGTTATACACTTATAAAATAAACTTATATATTTCTACTAAGTGGAACAGATATATTTGCTCTACAAAAGTAGAGTATAGATCCAGAATGTGTATAAAATACAAAATAAAAATAAATAGAACAAGTATTTGAATGAACTTTCTCAAGTAGATTTACTTGCATTGTGTCAGCCAAGTACTTACATTTTACTTGTCAAGTACTTGACAAGTAAATTTACTTAGAAAAGTCAACAAGTACTGCCCTCATTACTTAATCCAAGTACTTGGCTTAAGTACATTCACTAGGAAGTGCTATTTATTTTGTTGCTTTGCTGTTTCTCTTTCATTTGCGTTGCAGTCTTCCATTGTTTAATTAAATTCTTTCGTAATGGAGCATTTTACTTTTAAATTATCAACTTTTAAAGGAGAAAAAAGCTGATGTTATTGTTCATAGTTTGCTTGTTGTCTTACATGTCTATATGCTCTCTTTTTCTGGAGCTGTGTCATTCATTCTACTCAAACATACGCAAGCAGTCGCTGGGAAGAAAAACAGGTGGGTGAATATTAAAGGTTTCGATGTTCTAAACTTCATTACCTTTTAGATTATTCTCTCAAGGCAGAGATGGAGAAAGTATCCGTAGTTGTGAGCACTGCTCGAGAACAAGTGTTTGATTTGGGCATGCTTTCAAAATCCGCATCTCATACTACTTCTGTTATTTCTTTTTGTCATTTTGATAGTGGAGTATATATAAAGCTGATTTTATACTACCTTGAACCGTATGTAAAAAGAGCAAGACGTAACTCTTATGATTTTTTTGGGTTCGCATTTTTCAAGTTCGCTCGCGATCACTTTAACAAATTCTGCACTTTTATTTTTATATTAATTCTTAAAATTTGAAAGGTGTCAAACATTATTTCACATTATTAATAACATGGGGCTATTTCTCAGACGGCTTTAAAGACTCAAAGCTCTATGTGAAGTTTAATGGATCTGGTACCCATCTGGATTGATTCTTGACATTTTTGTCTTACTATTTTCATTACGTTTCCAAGATATAAGAAGAGAAAAAAATTCTACGTTAAATTTTAACGGAAAGCAAGCGCACGGTACTACAGGAGTGTGCTTAAATTTCTCTTTTATCAATCCGCCATTACTTATCCCCACAACGTTGACTCTAAATATTTCGATAACTAAACACTTTGCTCGAGTTTTCTGTAGGTTAGAACAAGTTGTATTCTGTGATGGATATTAAAGTTCCCTTTAAGTATTCGGTATATAAAAGGAGTAGGAAATAGTAGCGTAACCACGGGGGGAGCTCACCTCCCCCTAAAGCTTTTCTTAGCTTTATGAAAAAAACTGAAAAAAGAGATCGCGTAACAGTTGAACTGTTCCAGAAAAAACTACACTACCTCCGATACGTTTTTGAATTTTTTGAAGCTGAGCTCCCCTGTGCAAAAATCCTGGTCACGCCACTAGTAGGAAAGACCACAAAATAGTCCAAAACACTTACAGTCAAACAGAATTCATATGGTAGACATTCAGTCACGATATGTGGATGATTTATCATGTATTGTAGAGCTCTTATGCTTGCCGTGAGAATAATGAATAGGTTTATCGAGGTATGTACGTTTGGTGAAACATCACGATTCACGATGAAAATTTAAATAAGTGAAGCAGAGTGAAGCATGGAAGATAAGAAAACTGAATTTCGGATGAATTTGCACACTCCACTGTAACAGAAAGGCACATAATAATATATGTTAAGAGAGAAAAGTAATTATTTGCTATGTCCCTACATACCGTAAAAAACCATAGTGGAATGTGTCGCGATAATAACATTTACCACAATAATATTCTTATTGCAATATGTAACAATATTATTTTTGTCGGATTTTATCGCGATGGAGACACGTCAGAGTTTAAGCAATAAATACCCAAGCAAATAAATAAATGGAAATTTGTCTCAAATATTACAAGACATGTTTTTATTACG